TAAGCCTATTCGCATTAATAGAAATAGTACAGTAATGCAATTTTCCATTAAATATACATGAGAATGTGAAGAACATTTTTAATGTTAAATATGTCACAACAATAAACGAAACCAATTAATTCAAAAATTTTAAATATCGATTGAAACTGTTAATCAATGAAACTATTCATATGTATGGACATATCACACAATCGAATTAGCTAGGGACGTGAATGAATAGCAATTGTCTAAATCAACTTATCACAGATGACATTAAAATTATCATCATTAGATCAAAATCAACTTCCAATGGTTTTAACCACTGGATATAAATATTAAATGGATCATTATTTCACTGTCTACATAATAAANTCCGTAAATCCATAATTTATTAAATATTAGCCAATTTAAAATATAGAAATTTAATAAAAATTGATATATTTTTGCATGTTTAGTTCAAATAAATTATTCCAAAGTAATTTTAATAATGTCAGAATATTATATTGTAACTATGGAGATATATTAACGTCAACAGTGTATTTCGAGGAATATCTGTCATGCCGTAGACATAAGCTCCTCTAATTCTAGTCAATCTAGGAGGTTTTGAGGCATTATATGATGTGCATTGACGTGACCCTTATATATCTTTGATGACTTTGGTTGAGCGAAACTGTATTGATCGCTGTTTTCTAGTTGATCTGTTCTGTATATCTCATTGCTTTACACTTTATCCTTAATTATTATTATTTATTTTTTAAGGAAAATATTTGTTTTTTAAAAATATCTAACGGTGTAATGACGTGGTGAAACTTCTATTTTTTGGTAAATGCGATTACTTTTATTGGAAAATAGTTATTGTATTGCATGCATGAAACCTCATAAAAAAATGCAGAATCAATATATCACTACTATATTAGATTTTTGGACGGATATAAGCCCGAGTATAATAGTTTCGGCTAGACATCTGATGAAATATTTGCATTACTCTATGGAGGTAATACATGTAGCCTATACTATAAAATTTCAAGATCTGTATATCATGTTGATAGATATGTACCAAAAATATGTTATAAAAATCCAGTGCACAAGCCTGGTTCCAATGGTTTTAAAAGAAAGATACTATTTTTTTTCATAACATTGTTTACTAATTTTTACAATGTAATTTTACATATGTAGAGTAATACAGTACAATAGATTAAGGAGGAACTGAACGGATACAAAGTAAATGTTATATACAATATGCTGTTTAATTTTAATTTCATTTAATTTTTAATTTTTTCCTGAAAATCTGAAAATCCCTGAGTGCACGGTCTTAGAACTATTCCGAAAATGTTAGAAACAATAAATATATTTTTATTTACTGTATATAATTAAATGAAATATTATCAATAAAACATTTGAAACTTTCATCTATCAAAGTATATTTTAAGGAAATATATTTATTAAAATTAAAGCTAAGTAAGTATAAATATTTAATCCTAATTTACAATTTTAATTATATGCAATTGCTTAACAAGAATTTAATAATATCGTTCCTAAAACAAAAGCTTAAGAATTAGATTTCTCTAACTTTTTTTTTCTTCAAGTAATTCGATAATCTCAATACTATGCTAAATAATTTTTAAACTGTTCGAACAGAAAAGTGATTTGACGCAACAAAACAAAAGCACTTAAAATAAAATTGAATTTATATAGTTCCGAGAGATAATCGAAGAAAGGATTTAAATCAACTGAATAGATAGGGGCTTTATCTAAAAGAAAACAATCAAAAGAGTGAAGAAATTTAAGTACTTTCAATCGATAAGAGATGAAACTAGAACATTTACAGATGTAAAACAGAAGTTCGTACAGAAACAAATAAGATATTTATTTTCATGATAAGAAACTTCATTATCATATTTTGAAGTAAAGAAAGTATTTACGTGAAAAAAATTATAATTACTTTAAAGTTTTAAAAAGTTTAAAATTTCTAACAGAATATTTAAAAGTAAATAAATCTTTAAAGCAAAAAGATCACAGTTACAGAAAGATAGAGCATGAAAATGGATTCAGAAAAGTAAAATTGAAAAGAGTAAACCAGAAAATTATAAAAATAAATGATAAGAAATTGAGAAAATAGCTAAAAGGAAGAAATTCTTAATACAATATAACGTTATGTGAAAAGGATAAGAGATGATCAAAAATATCATGAAAAAATGTTCTCGAAAGAGAAAAACCAGAAAGAAGTTGAAAACGATATTAATGAAGCAGTGAAAGGGAGGGGTTTAAAAAAGGAAACTGAAAAGATAAAAAATAAAAAATAAAAGAATACGAAGAAAGATCAGACAATCGTATTAGGTGGGGAGAGCTTAACTAATGGTTCTGAAAAACTTTATTTTTTATTTTACGATATAATAGTTGAAATTGAAAATATTATATTAGTTTGGCATTAGTGCTAATTAAAAGTAAAAGAGTGAAAATGAAAGAGAATTAAGTCTAATTAAAATTAATCGATAAATTAATAACACACATTTTTAAAACATGAAGTGATATGAAATATTTATATAGCAGGTTATTATTGTTTTATTTAAAACAAATAATTACTAATATGAAATTTTTTCAAAGAGCAAAATAACTTTTCGTAAATATTTACTCTAACTTATTATTTTTTATCGTTAATAAATAACTTAAAAGACATAAACCTGCTGGATACTAACAACATATTTTTTCTGCAACAAAATTGTTTTGATAAAATCACTGAGAAAAGTTTTAAAAAAGTTAAGAAGAATCTAAAACATTAATTAAAGAATATAACATTCTTCAATTTTTTTTCTTTTACCAGATATAATCTAACTTATATTATAAGTAATTTTTGTAAAAGAATATATTTATATCCTTAGATATAAAATTTAAATAACGCATGAGAATATTGAAATTTTTAGCTAAATTTGTTTATTATTTGCATTCTCACACTTTCTCAAGAGAATAATTTTATATATATTTACACAGTGAAGTATTGTATATAGGTCTACGCATGCATTCTATATTTATATCCGTTACTATATTATTTATAACTAAATACAATATAAAATTTCTAATAAGATATTTACCGTACATTTAGAAAGAAAATATCATTTAAAAAACAATGTATATAAATATATTTTTTAAGAAATATTTTTATTTTAATGCATATTAAAAATATATATTTTAGAATATATTTTACTTAAATCTAAAAATAAAATTTATATATTGGTATATACTTTTCATAGAGAATATAAGAAACTCTTTATATATAGATTTCCTATATATATGTTCTCTATAAAATAAATTTCATAGAGAATATGTAATTTTTTGGACTCTTTCTGCTCTGTAGACACTAACAAGCCCTTTTTAAATCATACTTATCATGGGTTGACGTCCGGCTGGATCTACATATGAAAAATTTTGATATGGATTCGAATACGGTCTTTCAAAATGGCATGCCTATGCCTGCATCACCCTGGGCATCTGACCTTCTACATTAATTAATTAAATTAATTTATAGGCTACATGTAGGATAAAACCTAAAATTTCAATTTTGAGTATTTTTGAATTTGGGATTATTATGGAATAAGAACATTTTTAAACAAGTTAATCATATATATATATATATCATCGAAAGGAGACCATTATTTGTTATTGTTAATAGTCTACTTGGACTTTACTTATTAATAGGACTTAATATTGGTGTTTAAAGATTGGCACAGCAATGACAGTTAGTTCAGGAAAAAACAAAATTTCTTTATTATATCACCTGTAGTAATAATTTCTGTACACATATTATACGTGTTTCGGGCTAGCATGCCCCTCATAAGTAGTACTACTACCATACATGTAAATACATATTCCAATCCCGAGTATAAATGTATCTTTCTCGTTGTATAATTAAACATTTCAATCAAGGTTCTGTTTTTCACCATTTTTCACCAGAACATAATACTGTTGAATGGTGAAAAATAGAACCTTGATTGAAATGTTTAATTATACAACGAGAAAGATACATTTATACTCGGGATTGGAATATGTATTTACATGTATGGTAGTAGTACTGCTGATGAGGGGCATGCTAGCCCGAAACACGTATAATATGTGTACAGAAATTATTACTACAGGTGATATAATAAAGAAATTTTGTTCTTTCCTGAACTAACTCTCATTGCTGTGCCAATCTTTAAACACCAGTATTAAGTCCTATTAATAAGTAAAGTCCAAGTAGACAATTAACAATAACATTAGAATTTAAGGACAGTAAGGCTTTTACAATTACTTGATTACTTTCCTGTTTCGTTCAGTACTTTTTTTTNAAATTAATGAAGTGTTGTTTGTTGAATCGATGGAATTAATTACAATAATGTTTTTCGAAAAAAAATTGCATTAAAATATACAGTTAAAATACTTCTACTATTGGATTTTTTGAACGAGATTAATTACTAACTGTAAACTTTAAGCATAAAAACGTTGCATATAGAAGCATTTTTATGTATCATTATGAAAATTTCTATATTTAAATCATAGTAATATAGTGATACGAAAGAACAGAAGCTTCAATTTTTCGCTGTATAAGCTACTGAATATAGGCTAATGCAATATTGATAAGAGACGATGTTCACTATAAATAACTTTTCAGATAAAAAATAAAAAAATAACATCGCAGCACAAAAGGTAAAATGTTTCTTGTCTTAAACGACTTTCGAAATAACGTCAATAGCAATAGAAATTTCAGGGAAAAACATCACATGTTAAAAATTTTTGTATTAGATTCTTCTTATAATATAAGCTGATTGAATTTTCCTTGTTTATTAAAAATATGAAATAACAATAAAGATATAAACAAAAATAAAAAATTTTTTGGAGAAGTCCGAAAATTAATTAAAAAATAAATTGAAGACATATTAAATTTAAATAAAAATTTTAAAATATTTTAAATTTAAAAATCAATACTTAGTGAAATTTACATGTAGTAAAGTTGCTTATAAATGCATATAAAAACGTTTAAAAATTACCTCCTTGTAAAGTTAAAGTTGCGAAACTATATTCTTCTTCAGTAGATCCTGCATCATTGTGAGCGGTGATTAGCAGATCATGCAGAAGGAATGAGGATAGTTTTTTTATAGTGAACATAATTAAAATATTTATAACTTAAAATAAATAGGTATATACTCAATATTTTTGTAATATTGACTATACACAATGACTGTACAGTACATATATATATATACTCTGTCTTCAATTTTAGATTTTATCATATAGAGAAATAGGATTTATTTAAACCTGAAATGAAACAGTGCCGACAAAAGGATTAATTTTTGTCATCAGAGTTAAAAGGGGTCTACCATGTTACATCATCCATTAATGGTTTATTTTTGTTTCAGTAATGATTAATGGATGTTGTATAGTATTTCTGCACTCTAAATGACTTTCTGTTTGCTCCTCAAAAAACATGAGTGCTAACTACTGAAATAGTTTTGTAAAAGAACTGATTATTTTTTTTTATATTCATTAAACTATATGACATTTTCAGAAGACAGATTGCATTTTATGTATTAAAGCATGCTGGTTTCTTTTATTTTTGTAAATGTAATTCAAAAATTTAACTGTTCTCTCTGTTTAAATCTAAAGCTTACACGATAAATAAAAAGTAATATTTTTCCGGGTTTTATCATTGAAATATTACTTATTTTATTTTATGAAATAAAAGACTGATATCAGTAGCTTGTTACTGATAATATGAAACATCAAACTGTTTAAAATTTTTGCTGGTATGATAGAAATTAATTTAATACTATTGAACACAACTGGAAAGCATTAATTAAATTTTATGTCGTGAAGAGCATATTAATTCTATAAATTAATGCAAATTTAATTTATTACTATCGAATTCTCATTTGGCAATTGAAACAAAATGATTTAAAATAAATTTTTTTGCTTCAAAAACAAAACTAAAACATATATTTTATAACGTATAGAATATGTTTTAAATTATGTTAAATATTAACAAAACTGTAAAAAAAAAATATAATGAAAAGTATTTTTAAGTGAATAAATTAGCGAAGCATGCATAAATATTTGTTAAATTAAATTTTAATTTATTTGTTTTAAAATAAAGTTTTAAATAATTAAAAATAATGCAGTTCCAATAATTAAATAGGCATACATTTACATCCAAAGCAATTAATTTTTTAAGAATAATTAAAATTCATTATTCATCAGAATTTAATTATACTGCAGTAAAATATAAACATTAGTTAGATAATTTACTGTATAATTTTTTAAATATAAAAAAATGAAAGAAATTTCTTTGTAATTCTTTTTAAATGTAATGCTTGCAAAAGAATACTTGCAAACATCGAAAAAAATTAAAAATGAATAATTTCCAAAACGATAAAATGACCCCTTCTTTATTCAATTGTACTTTATAATTTGTTTCTTGTCAAGTGAAATCAAGAGAAACTGCTGAGTTGTGAACCGTGACTCATATATGAAAAGAACATAAATTTAAACAAATTATTCAATTTGTATTTCTAAAAAACACATAAAAATAAGGTAAGTTAAAGAAATACCTCGTAGCTTTAATATTAAATTTAACCTATTTTATAAATAAAAATTATTTATAATAAACAGACAAATATACATAACATTACTACAATGAACATTGTCTATTATTCAAAATAAAAATGTATTTAATTCAATTTATAAACATATAAAATAGCTAAAGATGATATAGGAAAATTATTATTTTTATATGAAGAAATTTAATTTAATGTATAAAAAAATAATAACTTTTAAATGAAAATAATTCACTATTACCAAATTTCAGAAAATGTAAACGATTATCAAGTTATTTAAATAAATATAACAATTATAGATGATGATTGTTTAATAAATGGAAAATGTTTCTCATTAAGATCAGTTCATATTAAACTATAGTTTTAGATAATAATAATGTTTATTATCATAATAATTGGTAAAGGACGAATTAAAATTATAAACTACAAGCATCTACAAATTTATTGCAACTTTAAATACTTGTATATAATCTAAAATAATATAATTTAATGAAAAGTTAAAGAATTTACAGAAAGAAAAGATGATCAATGTGCAATTTAATGTAAAATAAGATAAATTTGGAATAGTTTTTTTTTTTTTTAACTTCAAAACAATAATGTAAATTTAGTATTCAAATAAATTCAAAATGAAGAAATTGTAATGTTGAAATTTTATTATTATTAAATTGTTAAATTATCTTATTAAATACAAAATAGATAATAAAAATTAAACAAAATTTTAAAATTTAACCAGAATATATTTATTATCGTGTCTATACAATTTTATTTGGTAATTTTTACACAGATTTAATTCTGGAAAGAAATAATTTATCCTTATCGTGCTCATACATATTTTACTTTTAAAATCACTTATCTTCTGTACCCTTCATCACGTAGTTTATAAAAAAAACCACAGTAATTAAAAATTCAGGATATGCTGAGATAAGAATTCTATAAATAAACTAAATTTCCCATATTGACGACGAATATTTCATACAGAAACTTATATAACAGAATTTATCGATTGTCAGTTCATTTTTGATAATGATTAATTGTCCAAAATATTAATTTGTTTTAACGATTATTTTCAAACCAAATTAGTTTATTAATAAGTTTAAACGTTTTGTCTTTTAATAAACATGAATAATATGATAAGTTTACGACTATTTTTCCAGTTTCAGATTTAGTTTATTTAAATTTAATAAGTATATATTAAATGTTCATGTAAAGAAACCTTATTTTTTATCATCACAATATTATATTAATATTATACTCTATTCAAAGAAACGAAATAAATTATTATGTATGAATATGGAACCGACTATATGCATGAATTATTAATAAGAACAAACAGTATGTTAATTATTAATTAATTTACATAAAGCAGTGATTAATAAAACATTAAATATATTCCATTTATGTCCTTGAAGATACTGATGTATTGTACAGTACAAGAAACAATTCAAATAGAGTTCATAGCCACATTTATAATTCTACTTCACTCTATGATTTCAAAGAATATTTGATAAGAAATTTTTTAAAATTCTATAATTCAATTTTCTTATTAAACACAAAAAGTTTTTCTGCTCTGATGCTTTTACATTTAATCTGAATAAGCACATCAATATAATATCCTGCCTTTTTTATATTTTCTACATTAATTGACAAGAATAAATGTCCTCATCAATTTTCATTTTACTGTTCACGAAATAAGAAAGAATAACAAATTGTATTCTTCTTCGCATCTCATACGGATGACTTTCATAATGTTTTAAAAAATATTTTAAACTCGTGTAATAATTTATTTTTTATTTTTGAAAATTGGCCAAAATTGATGTTTTTGTTCCATATTCTTTATTTCTTTCAAATAATATAGAAATTGACATTTATCTGAACTTTATTCGAAGTCTTAAAGTTAGAAGAAGCGATGCATTCGGAAAATGCAGTTGTGTGTTAAATTTATTTATAAAGTTTACTATCAAATCAATATAAAAATCGTAATACATAGTAATATTTTATAAAGTAAATAAATATTACAGGCTTGCAAATATTAAATTAAAAAAAATAAAGTTATTTTCAATATAGTCTATATGATGACTTTTTATATTAATTCCCTATTTAGCGTTTTCCCTATCTATGTTCTTTATAGATATCCACCACAGAAGTAAAACACCATGGCTGTTAAAACAAAAAATATGAAAAATGTCATATGTAATTACAAAGCAGCTTTTATATATTATTGAACAAATTTTAAACAGTTTCATTAAATTTGAAGGGTAATGTTATAGATAAAATCTCAACACGCAGTTTCTGAACTTTGTGTATATATATGTATGTGTGTATTGTAGTTTATACAGTACCTTCTATATCGCTTCTATTCTGTATTTGCAAATAAAACGTAAATGACAGATTTATTGGCTATGAATTGTAGAAAATTGGAAAGAACGTGACTACAATTCTCAAACAACATTTTAATAAAGAAAAGATGGAAAGTAATCAAACGGAAGCATAACAAAGCGATTATACTGAATCAATGAACTGTATAGTAGCATAATAAAGGAAGTGTAACTAACATATTATATACGGTATTAATTGATAAAAAAAACAACTATGCTATATTTATTTTGTAAACAATAACAATTCCAAAATTATTTAATAAATATAATTGATATACTAAATAAGAAGATAAAGTAATCTATATAATAAACTTAAAATTAATTCTATATCCCAATATTTGTATATTTAGATGAAAGAAAGAATATATTGTCTTCATTATATACACATTACATATAATAATACATATATTATATCAGCTTTAAATTAATCATATAAAGGCATGTAAAATCAATTTTGCTTGAAATATTACTATTGAGAATTACTTTAATTTTATTTTTATTACTGAAAGTGGTATTAAATAAAATTTAAATAAGAGCTACAGAAAAATATACATTATATAAAAAATTATAGAAAAGCATACAAAAAACTCTATGATGGAGAATTAACTTCTAATATTTAACACTACCAACTCATGTATTATCTATACATAAAATATATATTTTAACGTTAAAATAAAAATTTTGAAGCAGTAACTCTAGAAAAATGAAACATATCTATCACATAAATAACATGTCAAAAATTTTAAAGTAGCCTATTTTTAAATCGATTCCAAAAGCATGATTAGAAATCCAAAAATAATANACATAATTAAGAATATATATTAAAAAATAGAAAGCAGCTCTTAGATTGAATCGCATTATTCAGGGTAATTAAACTGAAAATTTTTATAAAAATTTTACTTTAAATTTGGTTTTTATCCCTCCATTATCGAAACATAAAAACACTATGATAAATCTATCCTTTATTTACTTTGAACGTCCTTTGCATTAATTAAGACAAAGACCATTAGATAGATTATATACAACATTAAAAATTTTAAAAGCTTTAATCAAGAATTAACACGTTTTGAATTTGCATAAAAAAAAGAGCATCTCAAAAAATTTTTTAGGGAAAGATATTTAAGAGAAATATTTAAATTTATAAATTGTTCATAACATAACATATAATTTTTTAATCGATAACTGAAGTAAAACAAATTATAATTGATTATTTTAATATAATTTATAAGAGATTAAATAGCTTTTAAGTACTTTTATGTTCTTAAGAGATAAAAATACCAAAAAAAAGTTTTAAAGATTAGTTTCGAAATGCCAGTTGTATCGAACAAATGAAAAATAATACTTGGCAAAAGATAATTAATTATGATAAATTTAATGTATTGATTGATGAAGTTTAAACTTTTAAAAGTATTACTTTTAGTATGTGAAAGACGACAACAGAATAAATTCACATCATTAATACAAAACAGAATAAAGGAAATTTGATTCTCCGTTTACTGTTACAAATACACAATAAATTATCGTGACAGGTGATTAAAACGTTCATTAATAAGCTGAAATTTAAAAAAATTGAAATCAGTTCATTAAAAGAAAGGTTTTTTCCCGTTAAAAAAATTTGATTTTAGAACACTGATTAAATATTCTACCATTAGCTTTGTTTTCGTATTGTGTTCTTTTTTCATATCTTTATTTTTTTATTCCGGAATGAATCTTACTTGATTGATACTTGATGCCTTTAAATCATTTTTGATAAGGAATTCAGAAAAACTTCCTCCATATTTTATTATATAATTTCATTTATTTATAATCTATTGATTTTTTAAAACTCGTTCCACCGTGTGGACACTAAGAGAGGGCCTTTTTAGCAAATCCATTATGGGTTCGGACCAGATATATATATATATATATACAGGTATATTAAGAAGCCCCAAGTTAGGTTTTTGTTCAAAATCATTTATAATATTCATTTTCATTAAATATGAATTTTATGATATAGGCCTAAAATTTGATAATACATTGAAATATTCTTTCATTTAATCAATGTAGTTTGTAGAAATATATAAAATTGATTTAATTATTATTTAGAAGATTATAATTGTGATTGTTTATAATAAAAACTTAATCTAAGATTTGTATTTTCAAGTTTCACCTTTAAAAATAATTGATATTAATGTTTTGAAAAAGCTGAATCAACACAAAGTAATATACAGCAAATGGTTTCTACGTCGCAAAAAATAAACAATTTTTTTCCTTTTTCATTTTAGTAGCTGAACATCTTTGCTTCAAGATATCAGAACACACAAAGGTTTCCATTTTGAAACTTTTTATATTTTTCTTCTTCTGATCTATTGATTGCATTTTTAATTGAATCTCTTTCCAAAATCTAAACTAAAAGACATAATTAAAAAAGTGCAGCTATTATAACAAGTTTTCATCTAATAAAAATTAGCATATTCTCGCACAATCCATTAAAAATAATAATTAAAACTGATGTTTTAAACAGAAAATTAATGAAGTGTTGTTTGTTGAATCGATGGAATTAATTACAATAATGTTTTTCGAAAAAAAATTGCATTAAAATATACAGTTAAAATACTTCTACTATTGGATTTTTTGAACGAGATTAATTACTAACTGTAAACTTTAAGCATAAAAACGTTGCATATAGAAGCATTTTTATGTATCATTATGAAAATTTCTATATTTAAATCATAGTAATATAGTGATACGAAAGAACAGAAGCTTCAATTTTTCGCTGTATAAGCTACTGAATATAGGCTAATGCAATATTGATAAGAGACGATGTTCACTATAAATAACTTTTCAGATAAAAAATAAAAAAATAACATCGCAGCACAAAAGGTAAAATGTTTCTTGTCTTAAACGACTTTCGAAATAACGTCAATAGCAATAGAAATTTCAGGGAAAAACATCACATGTTAAAAATTTTTGTATTAGATTCTTCTTATAATATAAGCTGATTGAATTTTCCTTGTTTATTAAAAATATGAAATAACAATAAAGATATAAACAAAAATAAAAATTTTTTTGGAGAAGTCCGAAAATTAATTAAAAAATAAATTGAAGACATATTAAATTTAAATAAAAATTTTAAAATATTTTAAATTTAAAAATCAATACTTAGTGAAATTTACATGTAGTAAAGTTGCTTATAAATGCATATAAAAACGTTTAAAAATTACCTCCTTGTAAAGTTAAAGTTGCGAAACTATATTCTTCTTCAGTAGATCCTGCATCATTGTGAGCGGTGATTAGCAGATCATGCCAAGTCCCAGGACTCAGGTCTGCAATCATCACAACGTCCTGCTCAGGTAAGATATGGTTAGACACCAAAATCCATTCCCTGTGGCCTCTTGGCTTATATCGTACGACAAAATGGGAGATGGGACATCCGTCGTCTGCCCATGTTGATAGTCGAAGATGCACAGAAGTAACATTTACTTTCAGAAAAATATTCTCGTCAGGAGAAACAGGAGCTGGAAATTCAGAAAAGTTTCTAAAAAAATCAATAAACAACCCACATGCTCATTAGTTTTCTTGTCTGTTATTTGCTATTCCATATTCATTCAATGCTCGTTATGTAAAGCGTTAAGTGCTTTATTTTAACTAAGATAGGGATGATATAATTGACTTGACACTTCCATTAATAATTTTGTTTTTTAAACTTAATAAATGCAGTATATAAAATTAAATTATTAATCGTTTATAAAATTACTTACAAAAAAGTTAATCTTAGAATGGGAATTTGAGAACTTTTATCTTGTTAAAACTATTTAAACTTAAACACAACTTGTCCAAATATGCTATACATTTTTATAAAATAATAACTTTAATACATTTCTTTTATTATTTATATTTATATTTTATTTTATTGTTCAGTGTAGAATCAATGGTTACCTTTGCCTTTAGTTGAAGCATGCAATGTTTCACTTGGATTTCCTCTGCCTACATCATTAAATGCAATAAGTAATAGCTGGTAAGATGTTCCACAAAGTAAATTTTCTAACGTATAGTGATAATGATTTGAAGATAATTGAATTTCTTTCCACTCGTTAGTTTGATCCTTGTAATTCAAAATGTATCCTAAATAAGATATATAACGTAAATTATATTTATAAAAATAAAGTCTCAAATTAGAGAAAAGAAATCTAAAAAGTAAAAATTTTGCTTACAGCACATTAAAATTTTCTAATTAATATTTTAAACCAACCAACCATTTATTGGATTACTGTTATCTTCAGATGTTTCCCATTTTAAACTAATTGTATTTGATGTACTTCCAACAATATGCATGACTGGTGCTTTGGGTGGATCTGAAAATACATCGTTTAATTTAAACGAAAAATTCAGAAAATATTCAATTCTCTTTAAAACAGAATGCCAATTTTTAAAATAAGCTAGGAGTTATTTATTGTTTTTGATGTTTAATATGATGTTTCTATAATTTAATATCCTTTAGCGAAGAAATGAAAAATGCTGTTTACAAATATGCAGCCTATACGGTCCGTAAATTTTTGAAAATGTATTGATATCAAAGATAAGAAGACCAAACATTTTTCTCAAATTTTTCAAACTATAATCTAAAAAAATGTTGTATTATATACACATGTAATATCTTATATTATATCTTACCCATTAAAAACGTTTGAACTATGACTTCTTCAGAAGCTGGTCCTGCACCTTGGCTATTGAATGCTTGAACCACTATACTATATTTTGTTGATCTCTTTAAATTTGTAATTGTATACTCAGCTGTCATCTGATCTTTTTTAAGATGGACGGTTTTATATATATATTGGTTTGTACTTTCACTTTCTTTGTATCCTACATAAAAATCCTCAACTTGTACTCGTTCCGATCTAAATGGAATCTGTTTAAAATGTATTATTATGTAAAATAGATAAATGACATACATATGCAATTATAATTAATAAATTCAATTTATATTACCTCCCAAGTTACTCTCACTGATTTTGAATCAAGAGGAACCGCTTTGACATTCACTGGTGGATTTCTTGGAGCTATTTATAATTATTAAAATATCAAATATAGTATCAGAATTGTTACAAAGGGAGATTTAAAAACATTAGAGCGAAAAATTAAACATTTAATTAAACTAATACAACATCTTTATACTAAATTTTCATGCAATTTAAAATAAAAAAACACTTTAATATTTTCTTATATAATTAAGGATTCTTTATAGCAACAAAAATTTATAAAATTGTGAAATTGAAATTTTACATTTCGTTTCATTTATTATTTAAAAAACTCCATTTATAAATAATAATAATGCCGCAATAAAAGATATAAAAAATGTTAAATAATAATTTTTATTTTCCTCAAAGGAATTTTGTTTTCTTCATTTAAACAGAATCGATTCAGTAAGAATATTCTCATTCGATAAGAATTCAGAAAAAAAATAATTTATTAATGGTATTCTAATGGACAAAAGTTTATTTTATTCATACTTTTTCAACATAACCGAAGAAATAAAAGAAAACTGTACTCCAGTTAAAGAATTATGAAGGGAATTTGTACATGTAACCTTTATTACTTGAGCAAATATTATCTACCATGCTAAAGTAAAAGAGATTCGCTTCATAAATGACATAAAATATCATATAAATATTATAACAGATAAAATATTTTTGATTCTACATATTATATCTTATATTAATAGAGTTATTATTAATAGAAAAAGAAAGTGGATTTTAATTTTAATAAAAGTATATATAGCTGCTACTTGAAGTAGATTTTTATTAATGTCTAGAAAGTTTTTATGGTAATTGTAAATTAATCTTACTTTCGTATTTTTATTTACACTAATCTTGTTTTATTTAATTTCGAAAATTAATATAATTTTCGAAATTAAATAAGAGATTATTGAACATATAATAGTGTTTTATATCAATATATTAATATATATTATTTAAAAAGTTAAAATCGTTTAATTTAATTTAATTTAAAATTATAACTTCATTAATGTTTTTGTTCATTATTACAAGTTTTATATATAAAGAAAATTTATTGTAAAAATATTAACAGATCTAAACTTTATGTTTTTCTACAGAAGAATTTTTATATAATAAGTTAAAAATAATTTTCTATGAGAATGATAGTTTTTCAGTGAGGAATCTGAAGGTTATTTTTCAATTAAATTTCAGTCGATGGATAGATATATTACCTTCAGCAGCTGTTGTTACGGTGATTGTTTTGCTAGGTGAACTGTGACCAATACTGTTCTTGGCAAATACGTGGATGTTATAGCTAGTCATAGATTGCAGCCCAGTTATTGTTGCTGTGGTATCTGCACTGGATACAATGACTCTTCTGGAACGGTTAGATGGCCATTCCTCTAGAAAGAAAACATCAATTAAGAAGGATATAATAGTGCTGTCGATAAACTAACAGTTCGCCAATGCACTTATATCATCTAATTTATTACGTCATGAAATGAATATTCATTAAAATTATTTATTGTTATTATAGGAATAACTGTTAAAATGTTACGATTTAAATTAGTAAATTTAAATTTTAAATTAAAATTTTATATATATAACATACGCATACAGTAGTTAAATATTAATTAAATCAAAATTTATATTATAACATAAAATCTTTCAACTGTAACAATTCATTGAATAACTTTAATTAAACATTATGTTGTAAAAGGAAAGTAGACACTCCGAATTTTATGCTAGAAAAGTTTAATACGTATAAGTTATATTAAAATTTTATGTAGTATATGTTACGTATTTGATTATATAGGCTAATATGTAACAAATATATGCTTTATTATCTAATAATTCTCATAAGATAAACTTGATATAATGAAGTTATACATATTATTAAACTAGAAAAATTTTATGAATATCACGAGATCTTGATTATAAACTTTAGTGCACTTTGTCTTAATGTGTTAATTTCCTGTTCTATGACTAAAACAAACACATAACAAGATTACGTACGCTATTACCTTGGACAAAGCACATAAAGAATGCATTATTGGGTCTGAGAAACAAAAATTCTACGAAGATATCTATCGAGTATACCTTAATAATGTGTATAACATAAATCATTATAATAAAATTAATATTCATAACAGCATAATATATATATAGTAATTTTAGAATAATTAATTTATTCAACGTGAAGGAATAGTTCTGATTAGGATAATTTTGAAATTCTGTTATATTAATTAGGATTCAAATGCATTTAGAGATTTAATATATTTATACAAATTCTTTGATAGTAAATTTTAAATATATTTAAATATATTCAATAAGGCTGTCAAGTTTTTCTTCCTCTATTATTGTGAGATAAGGAAAATTTAATATAAATAATTATATACAGATATATTCAGATATAACTAAATATACTGTATATATATTAAATTTATTGAAATATTAGTAAATTTAATAGAATAATAAACTGAAAATTTCTTTCATTTCATATTATTTCCAAACATATACATATATTGTATATAGGCCTATGCATTTCTGACAAAATGCTCATTATAATAATATGCAATTTACAAGTGCAAAATATTCAGAAAATATTAAATTAATTTTTTGTACATATCAAAGATGTAGCTTTAAGCAATAGAAGATTACATTTGATTATGATGAGGTTTTTGACAAATGATTTTATGACACATTTTAAAATTATTCTTAGACACGCGATAAAAATACTGAAAGGAAAGTATGCAATTATATGCACATTTATAAGAAAACTTATTATTGAAGACGTAGCATTTAATTAAAGATTATCCCGCTAAAGAGATCGATATGCAAAAAGGAAAAGAAAAATTTGCACACATACACTCACACGTGCATTTGAATGTATACAAAAAAAGACAAATGGAGATTTCATAAAATGAACTGTAACCATTCATTACTAATCCAATAAAGAGAGAAAGATAATTATATAGATTAATAGACAACGATTATACTGAATGAATGCTATCAGAATGAACACACCTGTTCAATTCTCAACATATATTACCTACCTTTTTCCTGCTTATAACTGATGACGTAAGATGTTATTGGTGAATTACCAGAATAGGGAGGTGACCATAAAAGACTAGCTGCAGTACTAGTGACTTCAATAACACGTACGTCTTCGGGAGGATCCGGAGTTTCTAAGAACAAAATGAGAAATTTTGTATCAAACACGTCAACTGTTATTTTGAAATTAATCGATTATTTTTATTTCTGCATCATCAACTATGATTTTTCCAACTAGACAGAATTTTCTTTTGAATAATAAATGATTAAATGTTATACGTCAAGTTCCTCTTTCATTTTGCCAATAAAATTGATGTATTCATGTATACGTTATGTCAGGCTCGTTTATTTTGAAGTTTTTAGTTAGTTTGATAATCTTATGAATTTAACAAAATATTAAGGAAAACATGTAATGATTTAAAAGTCTTAAATTTGCATAATGAACAATCGATATATTTTTTTTATTTGTAAAAAAAATTGTAAAATTGCTAATGTATAAATTAAATTTATATGCAGAAATTTTTTCTATTTTTTATAGAATATATTTTCAAATATTATTGAAATATTTTATTAAATTTGATATGAAGAATTGATTATGGTAGTTACATTAAATTAAGAAAACATTTTTTTATTTAAGTTCACTTGTTATCGTACAGAGTACAATAACACACACACACACACACACACACATATATATATATAATAATTAAATTTAATATAATATATATATATATATCACAAATATATAAAATTTGATTATTCCTATTCGTTGTATAAACTTTAAATGAAGAAGATTTGCCATTAGTAATTTATTTCAATGTAAGTCATTCTGTACGATATCATTACTGAAATATCAAGGATTTAATGTAGAATTGTTGCAGGAATTACTGAGTCAACGAAAATTAGTTAAGGATACAGAAATTGGCAAAAATAGGCTTATCTCTGGCTATTCTTACTTGCTCAATTTATCGTCTTTAAGGCAATTAAGCTTATACTTCCAGTTAATTTTCATTTAATTATTTATTACTACACTGTTATATATTAAATCCTACATGTACTGTTCATATATATTTCTATTTCTTTATCTTCTACTTTCTCTTTCTCCCATTCTTTAGTATATACTTCTATTTTAAAATTTTCTTTTCTGATATGAAAAGAAAATTTTATGATATTAAAAGAATGTATATGTATGATATATATATACACACATTTTCATTTTTCCTACTCCCGTGTTCGTTATTATCATTAAATGTAAGTAAAGACTAAAATTGTATCTTACTGAAGTATTTCTACTTTAAAATTTATGTATAACAACGACTGATGTACTGTACTACCCAGTAATTGCATTGAAAATATATAAGAAAATATAAATAAATAAAAAATTGTCATATTCAATTTTTACAAAATATTAAGTAAAAAATTTACAAAAAATCTACTTTAAAGTAAAAAATATATACTTTACAAAGTCTCTTTTTTATTTAATGGCAGAAATCATTCGTGAATTTTTTCATTTATCCGTATCTTACTTTTATAGTAGTTTCAATGATTATCAATAAATTTTTATTATTTAATATTGCATTTCGATATTTAAAATAAAAAGCACAGCATTTCACTCATGAATGTTTTAATTCTCATATTATATTTTACGCAATTTTTAAAAATTAATAAAAAGTTAATAAATTTCAAAGTAAGTTATAAAATCACTAATATTAAAAACAACATTAATTTTTATTTAATTTTTTGATTAACTTATGCGTAAATTATTAATAATGTGAATTAATTAAAATAAATTAATAAATGATTAATTATTGCACTTTTTATTTCCCGAGGAAATTAAATTACGTAGTAGTGTCAGCTGATGTTCTTATAACATGTAAGTTTACGGCAATGTCAATTTTTTAAACGTAACATTATTCAACAGTTAGTATTAAAAAATTTCAAAAATATATCAATTAGTATGAAATTAAATCTAACTAATAATTATAATTTACATTTTTTTTTTTTAACTTATAGCAAGATGAGAATGAGTTAACTCTGTAAAGTAAATATCGAATTAATTTTTCAAGAATTAAGTTTATTTTAATCTTCTTATTTTCAATTTGATCAAGATCTACTTCAATCAAACTTTAAATTGTTAATGGATGTTTACATAATTTTAAAAGTAATATCATTAATTAAATATTTATTGCTTAGCAAGAGTATTTTAAATTGTCAACTTGACAACTATCTGCATTAATGTTAACTTACTAATAAAAATAATTCTTCAAAGAAGAAAAATATTTTAAAATAAATGCAAGGTTAATGGAAAAACTGTATTTAAACTCTTTAAAAATCCCAAGTTTTTCAGACTTATGCATATGATATTGTTTTTTTCTTTGAAGCATTATATCGAACTAAAACTAATTTAATATATATTAAAATTTTAAAACAGTAATATAATTAAATTATTACGGATAAATTATTATTTGATTCCATTATCCTATTAATATTTTCTGTAATGAATGTGAATGCAATTTATCTCAACAATAACATTTAGACTAGTCATTTACAGAAACTAAATTATTGGATATTTATCTTTAGTTTATATTAATGCATATTTATAAACAAACATTTGAATATAATTTCTGTTTCTTATCATATTAAACGTTCAAACCTAATGTATAAAGCAAATATCAAATGTAATTTCTTAAATTGTTATCTTTCGGATAAATTTAAATTTATCTCTTCTTGTTATAACTTACCTTGAACAATAAGTCTGACTTTTGTCTTCTGAATACCGTAAGGATTTGATGCTAAACAAGTGTAGGTGTTTGTATCCTCTCTTTCTGCATGTGATATTGTAACTAAGGAAGTTTTGATATCTGCTCTTTCAGTTTCTTCTATTGTATAGCTAAAATTTAATTTAATACTTTTACCAAAACTTAAATATATAAGTTAAATATAGTTAGGCATAGTAGATTTGCGATATATTTTCATACATTTATAAAATTCATATTTTGAGTCAGAAATATTTGCAATATTCTCTAAATCATCTATTCATTATAACAGAAATATACTAACCGTTTTATTTGATATAATGCTAAAGGAAATCCTACTTTATCCCAACTTATTGTTAGAGGAGGATCTCCAGAAGCAGAGCAAGACAATGTTGCTCTTTCGGATTTCTTTACTTGTACAACTTGAGTTGAACTTTGTATTTGTGGAGCAGCTACGAAATAAGAAAAGAGAAGTATTAAATCACAGAAGATAAAAATAAAAGTATTGTATTGCGAAGTTATAAATCTTTACTTTTATAATACTCTTCGTGTAAGAAATTTTTCAGTTTAAATGATTTAGTGTTAAATTGAAATTTTAAAGTTAATATTAAAAAAAAAATTCATATATACAAAATTTAACTTTGAAAATAATGAAATCACTTTAAAATAAATTTATTCGTTAATGAATAAATTGAAATAATGTACTGAAGAAATTTGATATTAATTAAAATTCTGTTTAAAAGTAATTTCTAGCTTGGAAAATTTATGTAGAAAAATTTTAATTGCTTTATGATCTAACTGTGTTTAAAATTCTTGAAAATTATTTTTAAAGTATACTTTAAAATTATATTAACAAAAATTAAATTTGCAAGGCAAAATTTTATCAATTAACTATTTTTCATATAAATGAATTTTTCTTTCGTTTAACTCGGAACTTAATTTGTAAGCTTTAGAAATGATTTAATTAAGTATTGAAATAACTTTAAAATTTTTAATTTTATTTCCGTCAGCAAGAAATGACGAATGAACATAATATAAATAATTATTTTAAAAAACAAATATAATAGATCCGATTATTCATTTTATTTAATATAAAGGAATTATATTTATTCAATTGTTTACTTTACAACTAAAAGTTTAGCATAGACTCTCAAGAGTTGTATAATTTAAAATATTATTAAAAATTCCAGACAAATTAATTAGTTTAATTTCAAGTGAAATTCAAAATGGAATACAAAACAAAAACTTAGAAGGAAATTAAATTCCATATAAAGTTAATCGTTACTTTTTGAAAAAAGCAATGTGCTAAACTCATACAAAAGAAAAATTAAGTTGAAACAAACAATAAAAATCTCATATAGGATTTAAAGGATTGATTTTATGGAGGAAACTTGTTGGCTAAAGTCAAGATTTCTGTCTTTACTGACAGATTCGTTAGTTTTGAAATTAGCTCAATCTATTTTTGTACTTCTATAATGTCCTCTCGTGTCATTAGATAAGTTGTACCGGTTCTTTGCGTAAAGTAGAGTGCAATTAAACGATAGTCATTTTTTTTTCTTCCTTCCACTAACGTCTTCAAAACAACCATCTAGAAATTTTGTTTTAATGAGAAACATTTAAAACGATTTTGATATTCTAGCAAACGACAGAAATTCTAATGTCCCTTTGTAAATTGTGCAATAATAACAATCTTCTTAAATGACTTCAGATATTTGAACTTTATAAAAAAAATAAAAGAAACCAACACAATAATAATAATAATAATAATAAATTTTAATGACACGAATACTTTTCAATGAAAAAAGTATTAAAAATGGGGAAAAATGCACCTTACGGGTTTTTGATAGATAAATATTCTTGTTTAAAACTAAAATAAAATATCTTACATGTCATTTTTTATGATATTGATACAAAAAACGGATTTAATCATAGGATGTTCCTATAGTTAATTTATTACTTCTACTATAAAAGTCATACCACATTTACCAGGGAAATGTATATAATAAATTTTATGTTAGAAAAGAATCATACATAAATAGCTTAGTAACGTTATTTATATACGTACAGTGAACGGTTAACTGTACATCTTCTCTCAAAGGTTCTCCTACGTCATTACTAGTCTCACACATGTAATATCCAATATCAGTCTTTTCTGCAGCTGTGATCGTTAAAGAACCGTTTTCGAGAACATAAATCCGTGAACTGCTGAGTACGCTATGATATTCTTTCCTTTCTCCATCTGCATATTTTAACAAATGACTGTAATCACTTCTATCATTAGTAGAAATAAGGGTGATACTTTCGTTAATTTTAAAACTTTCTTAAACGTAAATTAAATATTAAAAAAACGAAAAAAAAAATACANTGATTTAATTATTATTTAGAAGATTATAATTGTGATTGTTTATAATAAAAACTTAATCTAAGATTTGTATTTTCAAGTTTCACCTTTAAAAATAATTGATATTAATGTTTTGAAAAAGCTGAATCAACACAAAGTAATATACAGCAAATGGTTTCTACGTCGCAAAAAATAAACAATTTTTTTCCTTTTTCATTTTAGTAGCTGAACATCTTTGCTTCAAGATATCAGAACACACAAAGGTTTCCATTTTGAAACTTTTTATATTTTTCTTCTTCTGATCTATTGATTGCATTTTTAATTGAATCTCTTTCCAAAATCTAAACTAAAGGACATAATTAAAAAAGTGCAGCTATTATAACAAGTTTTCATCTAATAAAAATTAGCATATTCTCGCACAATCCATTAAAAATAATAATTAAAACTGATGTTTTAAACAGAAAATTAATGAAGTGTTGTTTGTTGAATCGATGGAATTAATTACAATAATGTTTTTCGAAAAAAAATTGCATTAAAATATACAGTTAAAATACTTCTACTATTGGATTTTTTGAACGAGATTAATTACTAACTGTAAACTTTAAGCATAAAAACGTTGCATATAGAAGCATTTTTATGTATCATTATGAAAATTTCTATATTTAAATCATAGTAATATAGTGATACGAAAGAACAGAAGCTTCAATTTTTCGCTGTATAAGCTACTGAATATAGGCTAATGCAATATTGATAAGAGACGATGTTCACTATAAATAACTTTTCAGATAAAAAATAAAAAAATAACATCGCAGCACAAAAGGTAAAATGTTTCTTGTCTTAAACGACTTTCGAAATAACGTCAATAGCAATAGAAATTTCAGGGAAAAACATCACATGTTAAAAATTTTTGTATTAGATTCTTCTTATAATATAAGCTGATTGAATTTTCCTTGTTTATTAAAAATATGAAATAACAATAAAGATATAAACAAAAATAAAAAATTTTTTGGAGAAGTCCGAAAATTAATTAAAAAATAAATTGAAGACATATTAAATTTAAATAAAAATTTTAAAATATTTTAAATTTAAAAATCAATACTTAGTGAAATTTACATGTAGTAAAGTTGCTTATAAATGCATATAAAAACGTTTAAAAATTACCTCCTTGTAAAGTTAAAGTTGCGAAACTATATTCTTCTTCAGTAGATCCTGCATCATTGTGAGCGGTGATTAGCAGATCATGCCAAGTCCCAGGACTCAGGTCTGCAATCATCACAACGTCCTGCTCAGGTAAGATATGGTTAGACACCAAAATCCATTCCCTGTGGCCTCTTGGCTTATATCGTACGACAAAATGGGAGATGGGACATCCGTCGTCTGCCCATGTTGATAGTCGAAGATGCACAGAAGTAACATTTACTTTCAGAAAAATATTCTCGTCAGGAGAAACAGGAGCTGGAAATTCAGAAAAGTTTCTAAAAAAATCAATAAACAACCCACATGCTCATTAGTTTTCTTGTCTGTTATTTGCTATTCCATATTCATTCAATGCTCGTTATGTAAAGCGTTAAGTGCTTTATTTTAACTAAGATAGGGATGATATAATTGACTTGACACTTCCATTAATAATTTTGTTTTTTAAACTTAATAAATGCAGTATATAAAATTAAATTATTAATCGTTTATAAAATTACTTACAAAAAAGTTAATCTTAGAATGGGAATTTGAGAACTTTTATCTTGTTAAAACTATTTAAACTTAAACACAACTTGTCCAAATATGCTATACATTTTTATAAAATAATAACTTTAATACATTTCTTTTATTATTTATATTTATATTTTATTTTATTGTTCAGTGTAGAATCAATGGTTACCTTTGCCTTTAGTTGAAGCATGCAATGTTTCACTTGGATTTCCTCTGCCTACATCATTAAATGCAATAAGTAATAGCTGGTAAGATGTTCCACAAAGTAAATTTTCTAACGTATAGTGATAATGATTTGAAGATAATTGAATTTCTTTCCACTCGTTAGTTTGATCCTTGTAATTCAAAATGTATCCTAAATAAGATATATAACGTAAATTATATTTATAAAAATAAAGTCTCAAATTAGAGAAAAGAAATCTAAAAAGTAAAAATTTTGCTTACAGCACATTAAAATTTTCTAATTAATATTTTAAACCAACCAACCATTTATTGGATTACTGTTATCTTCAGATGTTTCCCATTTTAAACTAATTGTATTTGATGTACTTCCAACAATATGCATGACTGGTGCTTTGGGTGGATCTGAAAATACATCGTTTAATTTAAACGAAAAATTCAGAAAATATTCAATTCTCTTTAAAACAGAATGCCAATTTTTAAAATAAGCTAGGAGTTATTTATTGTTTTTGATGTTTAATATGATGTTTCTATAATTTAATATCCTTTAGCGAAGAAATGAAAAATGCTGTTTACAAATATGCAGCCTATACGGTCCGTAAATTTTTGAAAATGTATTGATATCAAAGATAAGAAGACCAAACATTTTTCTCAAATTTTTCAAACTATAATCTAAAAAAATGTTGTATTATATACACATGTAATATCTTATATTATATCTTACCCATTAAAAACGTTTGAACTATGACTTCTTCAGAAGCTGGTCCTGCACCTTGGCTATTGAATGCTTGAACCACTATACTATATTTTGTTGATCTCTTTAAATTTGTAATTGTATACTCAGCTGTCATCTGATCTTTTTTAAGATGGACGGTTTTATATATATATTGGTTTGTACTTTCACTTTCTTTGTATCCTACATAAAAATCCTCAACTTGTACTCGTTCCGATCTAAATGGAATCTGTTTAAAATGTATTATTATGTAAAATAGATAAATGACATACATATGCAATTATAATTAATAAATTCAATTTATATTACCTCCCAAGTTACTCTCACTGATTTTGAATCAAGAGGAACCGCTTTGACATTCACTGGTGGATTTCTTGGAGCTATTTATAATTATTAAAATATCAAATATAGTATCAGAATTGTTACAAAGGGAGATTTAAAAACATTAGAGCGAAAAATTAAACATTTAATTAAACTAATACAACATCTTTATACTAAATTTTCATGCAATTTAAAATAAAAAAACACTTTAATATTTTCTTATATAATTAAGGATTCTTTATAGCAACAAAAATTTATAAAATTGTGAAATTGAAATTTTACATTTCGTTTCATTTATTATTTAAAAAACTCCATTTATAAATAATAATAATGCCGCAATAAAAGATATAAAAAATGTTAAATAATAATTTTTATTTTCCTCAAAGGAATTTTGTTTTCTTCATTTAAACAGAATCGATTCAGTAAGAATATTCTCATTCGATAAGAATTCAGAAAAAAAATAATTTATTAATGGTATTCTAATGGACAAAAGTTTATTTTATTCATACTTTTTCAACATAACCGAAGAAATAAAAGAAAACTGTACTCCAGTTAAAGAATTATGAAGGGAATTTGTACATGTAACCTTTATTACTTGAGCAAATATTATCTACCATGCTAAAGTAAAAGAGATTCGCTTCATAAATGACATAAAATATCATATAAATATTATAACAGATAAAATATTTTTGATTCTACATATTATATCTTATATTAATAGAGTTATTATTAATAGAAAAAGAAAGTGGATTTTAATTTTAATAAAAGTATATATAGCTGCTACTTGAAGTAGATTTTTATTAATGTCTAGAAAGTTTTTATGGTAATTGTAAATTAATCTTACTTTCGTATTTTTATTTACACTAATCTTGTTTTATTTAATTTCGAAAATTAATATAATTTTCGAAATTAAATAAGAGATTATTGAACATATAATAGTGTTTTATATCAATATATTAATATATATTATTTAAAAAGTTAAAATCGTTTAATTTAATTTAATTTAAAATTATAACTTCATTAATGTTTTTGTTCATTATTACAAGTTTTATATATAAAGAAAATTTATTGTAAAAATATTAACAGATCTAAACTTTATGTTTTTTCTACAGAAGAATTTTTATATAATAAGTTAAAAATAATTTTCTATGAGAATGATAGTTTTTCAGTGAGGAATCTGAAGGTTATTTTTCAATTAAATTTCAGTCGATGGATAGATATATTACCTTCAGCAGCTGTTGTTACGGTGATTGTTTTGCTAGGTGAACTGTGACCAATACTGTTCTTGGCAAATACGTGGATGTTATAGCTAGTCATAGATTGCAGCCCAGTTATTGTTGCTGTGGTATCTGCACTGGATACAATGACTCTTCTGGAACGGTTAGATGGCCATTCCTCTAGAAAGAAAACATCAATTAAGAAGGATATAATAGTGCTGTCGATAAACTAACAGTTCGCCAATGCACTTATATCATCTAATTTATTACGTCATGAAATGAATATTCATTAAAATTATTTATTGTTATTATAGGAATAACTGTTAAAATGTTACGATTTAAATTAGTAAATTTAAATTTTAAATTAAAATTTTATATATATAACATACGCATACAGTAGTTAAATATTAATTAAATCAAAATTTATATTATAACATAAAATCTTTCAACTGTAACAATTCATTGAATAACTTTAATTAAACATTATGTTGTAAAAGGAAAGTAGACACTCCGAATTTTATGCTAGAAAAGTTTAATACGTATAAGTTATATTAAAATTTTATGTAGTATATGTTACGTATTTGATTATATAGGCTAATATGTAACAAATATATGCTTTATTATCTAATAATTCTCATAAGATAAACTTGATATAATGAAGTTATACATATTATTAAACTAGAAAAATTTTATGAATATCACGAGATCTTGATTATAAACTTTAGTGCACTTTGTCTTAATGTGTTAATTTCCTGTTCTATGACTAAAACAAACACATAACAAGATTACGTACGCTATTACCTTGGACAAAGCACATAAAGAATGCATTATTGGGTCTGAGAAACAAAAATTCTACGAAGATATCTATCGAGTATACCTTAATAATGTGTATAACATAAATCATTATAATAAAATTAATATTTAATTTGTAAATTATATTTATAAAAATAAAGTCTCAAATTAGAGAAAAGAAATCTAAAAAGTAAAAATTTTGCTTACAGCACATTAAAATTTTCTAATTAATATTTTAAACCAACCAACCATTTATTGGATTACTGTTATCTTCAGATGTTTCCCATTTTAAACTAATTGTATTTGATGTACTTCCAACAATATGCATGACTGGTGCTTTGGGTGGATCTGAAAATACATCGTTTAATTTAAACGAAAAATTCAGAAAATATTCAATTCTCTTTAAAACAGAATGCCAATTTTTAAAATAAGCTAGGAGTTATTTATTGTTTTTGATGTTTAATATGATGTTTCTATAATTTAATATCCTTTAGCGAAGAAATGAAAAATGCTGTTTACAAATATGCAGCCTATACGGTCCGTAAATTTTTGAAAATGTATTGATATCAAAGATAAGAAGACCAAACATTTTTCTCAAATTTTTCAAACTATAATCTAAAAAAATGTTGTATTATATACACATGTAATATCTTATATTATATCTTACCCATTAAAAACGTTTGAACTATGACTTCTTCAGAAGCTGGTCCTGCACCTTGGCTATTGAATGCTTGAACCACTATACTATATTTTGTTGATCTCTTTAAATTTGTAATTGTATACTCAGCTGTCATCTGATCTTTTTTAAGATGGACGGTTTTATATATATATTGGTTTGTACTTTCACTTTCTTTGTATCCTACATAAAAATCCTCAACTTGTACTCGTTCCGATCTAAATGGAATCTGTTTAAAATGTATTATTATGTAAAATAGATAAATGACATACATATGCAATTATAATTAATAAATTCAATTTATATTACCTCCCAAGTTACTCTCACTGATTTTGAATCAAGAGGAACCGCTTTGACATTCACTGGTGGATTTCTTGGAGCTATTTATAATTATTAAAATATCAAATATAGTATCAGAATTGTTACAAAGGGAGATTTAAAAACATTAGAGCGAAAAATTAAACATTTAATTAAACTAATACAACATCTTTATACTAAATTTTCATGCAATTTAAAATAAAAAAACACTTTAATATTTTCTTATATAATTAAGGATTCTTTATAGCAACAAAAATTTATAAAATTGTGAAATTGAAATTTTACATTTCGTTTCATTTATTATTTAAAAAACTCCATTTATAAATAATAATAATGCCGCAATAAAAGATATAAAAAATGTTAAATAATAATTTTTATTTTCCTCAAAGGAATTTTGTTTTCTTCATTTAAACAGAATCGATTCAGTAAGAATATTCTCATTCGATAAGAATTCAGAAAAAAAATAATTTATTAATGGTATTCTAATGGACAAAAGTTTATTTTATTCATACTTTTTCAACATAACCGAAGAAATAAAAGAAAACTGTACTCCAGTTAAAGAATTATGAAGGGAATTTGTACATGTAACCTTTATTACTTGAGCAAATATTATCTACCATGCTAAAGTAAAAGAGATTCGCTTCATAAATGACATAAAATATCATATAAATATTATAACAGATAAAATATTTTTGATTCTACATATTATATCTTATATTAATAGAGTTATTATTAATAGAAAAAGAAAGTGGATTTTAATTTTAATAAAAGTATATATAGCTGCTACTTGAAGTAGATTTTTATTAATGTCTAGAAAGTTTTTATGGTAATTGTAAATTAATCTTACTTTCGTATTTTTATTTACACTAATCTTGTTTTATTTAATTTCGAAAATTAATATAATTTTCGAAATTAAATAAGAGATTATTGAACATATAATAGTGTTTTATATCAATATATTAATATATATTATTTAAAAAGTTAAAATCGTTTAATTTAATTTAATTTAAAATTATAACTTCATTAATGTTTTTGTTCATTATTACAAGTTTTATATATAAAGAAAATTTATTGTAAAAATATTAACAGATCTAAACTTTATGTTTTTCTACAGAAGAATTTTTATATAATAAGTTAAAAATAATTTTCTATGAGAATGATAGTTTTTCAGTGAGGAATCTGAAGGTTATTTTTCAATTAAATTTCAGTCGATGGATAGATATATTACCTTCAGCAGCTGTTGTTACGGTGATTGTTTTGCTAGGTGAACTGTGACCAATACTGTTCTTGGCAAATACGTGGATGTTATAGCTAGTCATAGATTGCAGCCCAGTTATTGTTGCTGTGGTATCTGCACTGGATACAATGACTCTTCTGGAACGGTTAGATGGCCATTCCTCTAGAAAGAAAACATCAATTAAGAAGGATATAATAGTGCTGTCGATAAACTAACAGTTCGCCAATGCACTTATATCATCTAATTTATTACGTCATGAAATGAATATTCATTAAAATTATTTATTGTTATTATAGGAATAACTGTTAAAATGTTACGATTTAAATTAGTAAATTTAAATTTTAAATTAAAATTTTATATATATAACATACGCATACAGTAGTTAAATATTAATTAAATCAAAATTTATATTATAACATAAAATCTTTCAACTGTAACAATTCATTGAATAACTTTAATTAAACATTATGTTGTAAAAGGAAAGTAGACACTCCGAATTTTATGCTAGAAAAGTTTAATACGTATAAGTTATATTAAAATTTTATGTAGTATATGTTACGTATTTGATTATATAGGCTAATATGTAACAAATATATGCTTTATTATCTAATAATTCTCATAAGATAAACTTGATATAATGAAGTTATACATATTATTAAACTAGAAAAATTTTATGAATATCACGAGATCTTGATTATAAACTTTAGTGCACTTTGTCTTAATGTGTTAATTTCCTGTTCTATGACTAAAACAAACACATAACAAGATTACGTACGCTATTACCTTGGACAAAGCACATAAAGAATGCATTATTGGGTCTGAGAAACAAAAATTCTACGAAGATATCTATCGAGTATACCTTAATAATGTGTATAACATAAATCATTATAATAAAATTAATATTCATAACAGCATAATATATATATAGTAATTTTAGAATAATTAATTTATTCAACGTGAAGGAATAGTTCTGATTAGGATAATTTTGAAATTCTGTTATATTAATTAGGATTCAAATGCATTTAGAGATTTAATATATTTATACAAATTCTTTGATAGTAAATTTTAAATATATTTAAATATATTCAATAAGGCTGTCAAGTTTTTCTTCCTCTATTATTGTGAGATAAGGAAAATTTAATATAAATAATTATATACAGATATATTCAGATATAACTAAATATACTGTATATATATTAAATTTATTGAAATATTAGTAAATTTAATAGAATAATAAACTGAAAATTTCTTTCATTTCATATTATTTCCAAACATATACATATATTGTATATAGGCCTATGCATTTCTGACAAAATGCTCATTATAATAATATGCAATTTACAAGTGCAAAATATTCAGAAAATATTAAATTAATTTTTTGTACATATCAAAGATGTAGCTTTAAGCAATAGAAGATTACATTTGATTATGATGAGGTTTTTGACAAATGATTTTATGACACATTTTAAAATTATTCTTAGACACGCGATAAAAATACTGAAAGGAAAGTATGCAATTATATGCACATTTATAAGAAAACTTATTATTGAAGACGTAGCATTTAATTAAAGATTATCCCGCTAAAGAGATCGATATGCAAAAAGGAAAAGAAAAATTTGCACACATACACTCACACGTGCATTTGAATGTATACAAAAAAAGACAAATGGAGATTTCATAAAATGAACTGTAACCATTCATTACTAATCCAATAAAGAGAGAAAGATAATTATATAGATTAATAGACAACGATTATACTGAATGAATGCTATCAGAATGAACACACCTGTTCAATTCTCAACATATATTACCTACCTTTTTCCTGCTTATAACTGATGACGTAAGATGTTATTGGTGAATTACCAGAATAGGGAGGTGACCATAAAAGACTAGCTGCAGTACTAGTGACTTCAATAACACGTACGTCTTCGGGAGGATCCGGAGTTTCTAAGAACAAAATGAGAAATTTTGTATCAAACACGTCAACTGTTATTTTGAAATTAATCGATTATTTTTATTTCTGCATCATCAACTATGATTTTTCCAACTAGACAGAATTTTCTTTTGAATAATAAATGATTAAATGTTATACGTCAAGTTCCTCTTTCATTTTGCCAATAAAATTGATGTATTCATGTATACGTTATGTCAGGCTCGTTTATTTTGAAGTTTTTAGTTAGTTTGATAATCTTATGAATTTAACAAAATATTAAGGAAAACATGTAATGATTTAAAAGTCTTAAATTTGCATAATGAACAATCGATATATTTTTTTTATTTGTAAAAAAAATTGTAAAATTGCTAATGTATAAATTAAATTTATATGCAGAAATTTTTTCTATTTTTTATAGAATATATTTTCAAATATTATTGAAATATTTTATTAAATTTGATATGAAGAATTGATTATGGTAGTTACATTAAATTAAGAAAACATTTTTTTATTTAAGTTCACTTGTTATCGTACAGAGTACAATAACACACACACACACACACACACACATATATATATATAATAATTAAATTTAATATAATATATATATATATATCACAAATATATAAAATTTGATTATTCCTATTCGTTGTATAAACTTTAAATGAAGAAGATTTGCCATTAGTAATTTATTTCAATGTAAGTCATTCTGTACGATATCATTACTGAAATATCAAGGATTTAATGTAGAATTGTTGCAGGAATTACTGAGTCAACGAAAATTAGTTAAGGATACAGAAATTGGCAAAAATAGGCTTATCTCTGGCTATTCTTACTTGCTCAATTTATCGTCTTTAAGGCAATTAAGCTTATACTTCCAGTTAATTTTCATTTAATTATTTATTACTACACTGTTATATATTAAATCCTACATGTACTGTTCATATATATTTCTATTTCTTTATCTTCTACTTTCTCTTTCTCCCATTCTTTAGTATATACTTCTATTTTAAAATTTTCTTTTCTGATATGAAAAGAAAATTTTATGATATTAAAAGAATGTATATGTATGATATATATATACACACATTTTCATTTTTCCTACTCCCGTGTTCGTTATTATCATTAAATGTAAGTAAAGACTAAAATTGTATCTTACTGAAGTATTTCTACTTTAAAATTTATGTATAACAACGACTGATGTACTGTACTACCCAGTAATTGCATTGAAAATATATAAGAAAATATAAATAAATAAAAAATTGTCATATTCAATTTTTACAAAATATTAAGTAAAAAATTTACAAAAAATCTACTTTAAAGTAAAAAATATATACTTTACAAAGTCTCTTTTTTATTTAATGGCAGAAATCATTCGTGAATTTTTTCATTTATCCGTATCTTACTTTTATAGTAGTTTCAATGATTATCAATAAATTTTTATTATTTAATATTGCATTTCGATATTTAAAATAAAAAGCACAGCATTTCACTCATGAATGTTTTAATTCTCATATTATATTTTACGCAATTTTTAAAAATTAATAAAAAGTTAATAAATTTCAAAGTAAGTTATAAAATCACTAATATTAAAAACAACATTAATTTTTATTTAATTTTTTGATTAACTTATGCGTAAATTATTAATAATGTGAATTAATTAAAATAAATTAATAAATGATTAATTATTGCACTTTTTATTTCCCGAGGAAATTAAATTACGTAGTAGTGTCAGCTGATGTTCTTATAACATGTAAGTTTACGGCAATGTCAATTTTTTAAACGTAACATTATTCAACAGTTAGTATTAAAAAATTTCAAAAATATATCAATTAGTATGAAATTAAATCTAACTAATAATTATAATTTACATTTTTTTTTTTTAACTTATAGCAAGATGAGAATGAGTTAACTCTGTAAAGTAAATATCGAATTAATTTTTCAAGAATTAAGTTTATTTTAATCTTCTTATTTTCAATTTGATCAAGATCTACTTCAATCAAACTTTAAATTGTTAATGGATGTTTACATAATTTTAAAAGTAATATCATTAATTAAATATTTATTGCTTAGCAAGAGTATTTTAAATTGTCAACTTGACAACTATCTGCATTAATGTTAACTTACTAATAAAAATAATTCTTCAAAGAAGAAAAATATTTTAAAATAAATGCAAGGTTAATGGAAAAACTGTATTTAAACTCTTTAAAAATCCCAAGTTTTTCAGACTTATGCATATGATATTGTTTTTTTCTTTGAAGCATTATATCGAACTAAAACTAATTTAATATATATTAAAATTTTAAAACAGTAATATAATTAAATTATTACGGATAAATTATTATTTGATTCCATTATCCTATTAATATTTTCTGTAATGAATGTGAATGCAATTTATCTCAACAATAACATTTAGACTAGTCATTTACAGAAACTAAATTATTGGATATTTATCTTTAGTTTATATTAATGCATATTTATAAACAAACATTTGAATATAATTTCTGTTTCTTATCATATTAAACGTTCAAACCTAATGTATAAAGCAAATATCAAATGTAATTTCTTAAATTGTTATCTTTCGGATAAATTTAAATTTATCTCTTCTTGTTATAACTTACCTTGAACAATAAGTCTGACTTTTGTCTTCTGAATACCGTAAGGATTTGATGCTAAACAAGTGTAGGTGTTTGTATCCTCTCTTTCTGCATGTGATATTGTAACTAAGGAAGTTTTGATATCTGCTCTTTCAGTTTCTTCTATTGTATAGCTAAAATTTAATTTAATACTTTTACCAAAACTTAAATATATAAGTTAAATATAGTTAGGCATAGTAGATTTGCGATATATCATCATACATTTATAAAATTCATATTTTGAGTCAGAAATATTTGCAACATTCTCTAAATCATCTATTCATTATAACAGAAATATACTAACCGTTTTATTTGATATAATGCTAAAGGAAATCCTACTTTATCCCAACTTATTGTTAGAGGAGGATCTCCAGAAGCAGAGCAAGACAATGTTGCTCTTTCGGATTTCTTTACTTGTACAACTTGAGTTGAACTTTGTATTTGTGGAGCAGCTACGAAATAAGAAAAGAGAAGTATTAAATCACAGAAGATAAAAATAAAAGTATTGTATTGCGAAGTTATAAATCTTTACTTTTATAATACTCTTCGTGTAAGAAATTTTTCAGTTTAAATGATTTAGTGTTAAATTGAAATTTTAAAGTTAATATTAAAAAAAAAATTCATATATACAAAATTTAACTTTGAAAATAATGAAATCACTTTAAAATAAATTTATTCGTTAATGAATAAATTGAAATAATGTACTGAAGAAATTTGATATTAATTAAAATTCTGTTTAAAAGTAATTTCTAGCTTGGAAAATTTATGTAGAAAAATTTTAATTGCTTTATGATCTAACTGTGTTTAAAATTCTTGAAAATTATTTTTAAAGTATACTTTAAAATTATATTAACAAAAATTAAATTTGCAAGGCAAAATTTTATCAATTAACTATTTTTCATATAAATGAATTTTTCTTTCGTTTAACTCGGAACTTAATTTGTAAGCTTTAGAAATGATTTAATTAAGTATTGAAATAACTTTAAAATTTTTAATTTTATTTCCGTCAGCAAGAAATGACGAATGAACATAATATAAATAATTATTTTAAAAAACAAATATAATAGATCCGATTATTCATTTTATTTAATATAAAGGAATTATATTTATTCAATTGTTTACTTTACAATTAAAAGTTTAGCATAGACTCTCAAGAGTTGTATAATTTAAAATATTATTAAAAATTCCAGACAAATTAATTAGTTTAATTTCAAGTGAAATTCAAAATGGAATACAAAACAAAAACTTAGAAGGAAATTAAATTCCATATAAAGTTAATCGTTACTTTTTGAAAAAAGCAATGTGCTAAACTCATACAAAAGAAAAATTAAGTTGAAACAAACAATAAAAATCTCATATAGGATTTAAAGGATTGATTTTATGGAGGAAACTTGTTGGCTAAAGTCAAGATTTCTGTCTTTACTGACAGATTCGTTAGTTTTGAAATTAGCTCAATCTATTTTTGTACTTCTATAATGTCCTCTCGTGTCATTAGATAAGTTGTACCGGTTCTTTGCGTAAAGTAGAGTGCAATTAAACGATAGTCATTTTTTTTTCTTCCTTCCACTAACGTCTTCAAAACAACCATCTAGAAATTTTGTTTTAATGAGAAACATTTAAAACGATTTTGATATTCTAGCAAACGACAGAAATTCTAATGTCCCTTTGTAAATTGTGCAATAATAACAATCTTCTTAAATGACTTCAGATATTTGAACTTTATAAAAAAAATAAAAGAAACCAACACAATAATAATAATAATAATAATAAATTTTAATGACACGAATACTTTTCAATGAAAAAAGTATTAAAAATGGGGAAAAATGCACCTTACGGGTTTTTGATAGATAAATATTCTTGTTTAAAACTAAAATAAAATATCTTACATGTCATTTTTTATGATATTGATACAAAAAACGGATTTAATCATAGGATGTTCCTATAGTTAATTTATTACTTCTACTATAAAAGTCATACCACATTTACCAGGGAAATGTATATAATAAATTTTATGTTAGAAAAGAATCATACATAAATAGCTTAGTAACGTTATTTATATACGTACAGTGAACGGTTAACTGTACATCTTCTCTCAAAGGTTCTCCTACGTCATTACTAGTCTCACACATGTAATATCCAATATCAGTCTTTTCTGCAGCTGTGATCGTTAAAGAACCGTTTTCGAGAACATAAATCCGTGAACTGCTGAGTACGCTATGATATTCTTTCCTTTCTCCATCTGCATATTTTAACAAATGACTGTAATCACTTCTATCATTAGTAGAAATAAGGGTGATACTTTCGTTAATTTTAAAACTTTCTTAAACGTAAATTAAATATTAAAAAAACGAAAAAAAAAATACATCTATTACACGTAATTACTCATCATTAAAAATCATTTACTCCAAATACATATACACATAAAATAAAAAAAGTAAAAATTTATAGTCATTAAATTAATAATTTAAGATAAAACATAGCTATTAATAATTTAATTTCAACAAAAATTGTCCTTTTACTAATGGAAAAAAGTAATGAAAATTTTTGTTAAGATAGCTCATAAATATTATGTAAATCCAGACAGAAAATTTGATAAATGAAAGTAAAATATGACAGACAAAAAAAAATTCAATAAATTTACGCTGTAATAGATCATTTCAGTTTTTATTTTAATGGAGAGCTGTAAACTAAGAATATAAAATATCTATAAAACAAGATATTGCTCCACTCAACTAAATCTGGCAATGAAGTAAAGTAAGTTTCTTTGACCGTAATTAAATTAAGAAAGGCCATTATTTGTACATAAAAGTGTTATTTTTCTGAAAATGTCTCGAAAATAAAAAGCGAAATAATTAGTAATTTATGTTTACTTAGCTTTAAATTGTAGGTTATATTCTAATTTTAAAAAGAAATAAAGTATTCATATTATAATCCAATTTGCATTCTTAAACTTCGCTTAAGTCGAAGTAAAGTTTAAGACTTGAAAAACTGTATATACCTGTTTGAGTTTTAAGGTTATTATATAGGCAAAATATGATTACAGTCAGTTAAAAAATATTGACTTGTTTTTAACTTTTATAATGTAAAACTGATTTTAAAATATATTTTTTCTTGTTAGACACTCTTGTTTGGAGATAAATTTTTTTATTATTATTTAAAAAGCTTATAAAAAATGCAGGCAGCAAAGACATCGCTCATTTATCACTCTTCTTGAAGTCTTATATACCTAAAAATTTAATTTAGCGTAAAAATACAATAATAATACAATATATAGTAAATAATTGATCTAAGGAAAAGAAGTTAAAAAAAAAAAAAAAAACAGTTTAAAGTATATATTGAGCAGAAAGTAGGCAATAAATCATTGTACTAGTGTACAAAATTTTGTAGAAAGAAGAAAAAAAAAATACTGTAAATGTGACATCAGCTTTAGCCTCAGAAACAGGATTTAGATTTATATGCTGATCCTATATAAAAGAGTAAAGCTGCAATTTCCCGACTAAATTTTTTTTTCCTAGAAAAATAAAATGACTTATTTCAAATAAATTCTACTTTGTAAAAAGTTTGACTAAAAAAAATTTTGTTTTTTATTGTCAAAAATATAATTTTTTTTTCGTTGCAGGAAAATTGTTCATGTAAAACTTTCAGGAGTAAAGAATAATTAAATTTAACAACGTAAACAAAATTTGCTGTACAGTATAATAATTACTTTATAACCATCAAACTAAGCTATTATCAGTAGATGTTTCTATCAGATAGGATTAAATTGAAAATTAATTTCAGTACACCAATTAGATATGCCTTTAGCAATAAAATCAAACCACAAATTTCTAATTTCTGTAGAACATCATACTTAATTAATAGAAGCTTCAATCAACTATGATGTTGAACCAAGTTGATAACATGGATTAGTCTTTCGTCTGTATCATATAGATTAAGTTAGAAAACAAGGAAGAATATTAATCTATGATTGATATTATTAATAGAAATTGCTATTACATCAAATAATAATGAATTTTTTCCAACTTATTATTAATTAATATCAGTTGCATCTAAGACAATTTTTCGATTAGAAAAATGATGAACAAGTAACACAGTTTTCGAAATAAAATAAAAAAGAAAAAAAAATAAAATGTTAAGATACATATTATCTACTATAAATCATTTAAAAGAGCTGAAGGTTGTAGTTTTTTAATGCAAAATTACATTTTTAAAATAGTTTTCCAAGTAGAGTTTTTAAAAAGAAATGTTTAAATGTGACCTAGATCTTTAAACATTTGCAAAGAATTTCTAACATTTTTAGATTATTATATTCTAAAGATAGTTTAAGAAGAGGAATATTCTATTCATTTTAGATATTTTAATAAAGATAATTTATCTGTAAATAATATAAAAATCTCGAAATGAATATGAGTTAGCATTAAAGCAAATTAATGAAATTTGTTATATTAGAAGATTAAGAAAAGAAGTATTTTGTATATTTTTAGAGTATAAAATGTCAAAACAGTAAAAACTGCACGACGTCAAAAAATGTAATAAAAAATAACGTAAATACATAATATATAAAATTATTTTTTATACGTAATAAACAGCATCGTACATAAAATTATTATCCACAAATAATAAAACATAAAAAGTAAAAATATTACTAATTAAGCGAGATAATTGTACAGCTAGCAATAGCAATGATAAACTCTTTATAATAAAGTGATATTTAAAAAAAAATTCTTTTAAAAATTACCAAATCAATTATTTATTGTTAATGATCCTAATAATTTAACTATCAGATATATCGCATTTCCTAATTCCACACACTATCTGCATTCATTTTCGATCTTTCCACTTGCCAATTATGTTACAGAATTTCTAAAAATGATGTAACACAATCTTTAAATCTTTATTGTTGCGTAATTTGTACCTTCTCTTCCCTCAAATAAAGATCTATAACTATTATTTTAGTAAACTATTATTATTACATCAAATATCTAAGTATTTTAAAATCACATTAACGATCACTTTAAATCAATTTATATTTTTTAGAATTAAGTTTAATGATAATTACAAATATTTTCTGCAAAAAATTAAATAATTAAATAAAAAATTTACACAAGTAAAATAAAAATATAAAAAGAATCAGTTAAATTATAAAGTAATAACACGGAAAAAACCAAGAAAGAAAACATTATATTTATTTATTCACTTATTTGAAACGAAATAAAATAAAAATACATGTATAGAAGTTTAATATAGACATAACATTTAGATTATACTAGTGTCCGAGTACTAATAAATATCATAATACAAGATAAATATTTAGTCTTATATATACAAAATAGCTTGAGGTAAAATATAAAAATAGGCACATTAAAAACGCAACAGTACATCGTAAGATGCAACAATTTATATTAACCAAGAAAACAAAAATAGCTTTTAATTAAATCTGTTATTCAGTTTTTCATAAATGAATGTAAATCTTTAAATAGGAAAGTGTGTATTAAAAAATATATATATTTTTTTTATTTATCTATCATTACTGAGAATATTAATAGTTTAAAATTAAAAATGATCAACAATTTCTGTTTATTTTTTATTTCATAGCGTTTATACAAAGATTCATTATAGAAAGTATAACGTCAGAAAGTAATTTCACGTATAATTTAAAGGTAAAAAAAAATTAAAAAATGCTTCTTCGAGTTTGAAATCACTTTTGAAGAATAAACGAAACTGCTAACGATAAGTCTTTCTACAACAACAGCTGTTTCTAGCGTACGAATAAATCTGTCATAGTCATTTCAATCTGGAATTCTTATAGAAAGGAAAATTTAAAAAGAAAAATAAAAAAAAAATTGCTATCAATCGAATTCGCCAAAACACTATTATCATTATAATCATTTGATGAAAAGTTTGAGAAAACGAATTGTTCTTGCGATAGTTAAATTTCGAGATTACAAGTATCTTGTAATATCTCTGACCCAGATCTGTCAAGTAACAAGAAATAACAACTTTGAATAATTTATCATTCTTAGAAATTTAATATATACAAAACTGACAAAGAATATATATATATATATAAAACAATCTAATGAATGTTTTCAAAACTGGGCTATGTTTTACTATGAAATTTATTAAAATTTTTGATTTCTTAGCATTCATAACTGATGCTAGTAGAAGGAAAATAGGATGACCCATATCTTCAAACATTGTCTTATAAATAGCATACCAAACGCAAGTTTAATGCCGAATTTAATGGGGCTTAAAGACATTTTCCATCTTTCTTTACAGCTTGGTCATATTATTGGGTGTATTTTCTAACAGAGCACAAGGAATTCTTGCTATGATCACAAAATCGATATCGCTTGATCGACTACTTAAATATTTTGTCAATAAAATGACTGACTTCTGGATACGAAAAAACGATTTTTGATTTTACTCTTTTTCCATCTTATCGTGACGGATAATGGCATCCGATTATGGAAAGAAAACATTAATGCATAACTAGTTATCTATAATGGAATAAACCTTAATAAGAAACATACTATTTTTTGAATTATTTTTGTTTCTTCCTGTTAAAAATAATGGATGAAACCTCACTAATTCGAATGCTTCATATTCAGAAGTAATTTTAAAATAAATTGTTTTACATTAATGGAGTTTACGTTGATATCGTCCGAGTTTAGATTACATAAATAAAAAAAATAATGCAATTTTAATCTTTCAATGATCTATCAGATGAGAAATTTTCAATAATTAAGAAAATTCTTTCCAAACGTAAAATACAGAATTTTTTTTAAAAAAATACAGTTTTCTTTATCCAAAATCAAAATAAAATATATTTTTAGTAGATTATATCATTTATTGTAATATTTTTTCTATCAGCACACTGTATAAACATAAATATCACAATAAAAACTTTTAATATATTTTTCACCATTATATAGAACATAACTAAACTAAAAATGGACTTTTTAAAGTTAAAAAAATTATCTTAAACTTCTAACCGCTAGATAATATCACTCATATTTTTATACGTTGATAGAATTTATAACAACTTTAAAAAAAGTTTAATTTATAAAATAATACAAAATGCAATTAAATGCAAAATAAAGCTATTTTGTCATTTAAAAATATAAAGAAATTCAAAATTAATTAAAATCTTTAAAGAAATTTTAAAATTATATTATTTTAAAAAATTCTCATTATTTTAAATATAATTAAAGCTATCTTTTTAATAGTGTAAGAAGC